TTTTTTTTTTTTTTTTTTTTTTTTTTTTTTTTTTTTGAGACAGGGGCTCCCTGCAGCCCCAGCTGGCCTAGAACTCAGTATGAAGACCAAGATGACCTCAATCTCACAGAGCTCCACCTGCCTCTGCCTCCTGAGTGCTGGGATTAAAGGCATGCACTGCCATGCCCAGCCTAGAAAGTTCTTTGTAACATCCCAAACAAGCTTTTGTACTAGATACAATATAAAACAAAATTCACACAACATCAATCCATTGCAAAAGAAGTTATACTCCTGTGAGCATTGGGTTAGCAGTTACATTTTGTCCATGACAATTCAGCCAATCAGGGTTGAGCAACAGCCAGATCATGCACAGGTCATAAACACAGAAGTGTTTCCATAGCCAGATTTCAGAACTCAGGCACAATGTCGTAAATGACTTGCCAAGCTGTCAAAATTGCTGTCTTGGAGTACAACCACTTAGGAACACAGTCTACTTTGCCACCGGAATGCTTCCTTAATCCACGTGACTCCAATGCTCCTTCTTTTGGAGTGAGGAGAGAATGTTCCACTAGGAGTATTGTGAAGATTAAGACAACATATATCACTTATAAATCTGAGCTGCATTGATACATATGAAGGTAAATAATCGAGTTATTATTATTATCATTATCTCATGGAAGACACTATAAGGCCAATGTGTAACCCAGGTCACCAACAGATGACAGAGGTCATGAGAGTCCTTCACTATCCCTAGGGTATGGAATTGTGGACCACAGACCCTGAGGACACAGTCCCATGGAAAGGCTTTCTGGGTAATAGGGAAGGGCCTCCAGCTCTCTGGTGTTTTTACTTTCTTTTTCTGTTTTCTATTTTATCATTTTATATTATTTTATTCGAGATAAGGTCTTACCCACATTCCTTGCTGTGACTGCCCAATGGGTCCCCAGAGCACCCAAAGGCCATTTCAGTTAATTTTCTCTCAGAAAACTCCAGCACATCACCGCTCCATGTTTCCACACTATATTACAAAACTAGAACGTTCCAGAGGAGACCTACGTTCCAGTATTCAGATCCTAAACCTAATATTCTTTTCATTATGAAAAATGCCAAAGTCTTCCCTATGACTGGAGCAGAAGTTCTTTAATTTTCTTATTACTCGGAGGTATTTGAAAGGGGGATTTAGAGGGTCAGTTAATACCCACAAACCCAGATGTGTACAGAATAAAGGAAGCGGCCGGCTTAACTGTTATCCTACCATTTACACTCAAAGACAACCAAACTAGAGTTTGAGTCAGTTAGAATGCTGATGCTTAACCAAGCCAGTGTGTTTGCTGGCAAGCATCAAAAGCTCATGCCTGGCGCTTCAGGCCAAAAGTGGGTTCTTAGCGCCCACTAGTGATTATTTTTATCATTGCATGGGTGGTTTAAAAAAAAAAAAAAAAAAACTGCAAACCCAGCTATGTCTGGAAGAGAACCATGATTAACCTCAGCTTCACACATGCCAAATAAGCGATAATTAGGCTTAACTAGAATGTGCATTTTTCTGTGACAGCTTTCTTCATGCATTAAAAATGCATCTCTTTAGGAAATCAAACATATGA